GTGAGTATAACGACTGCACGACATGATTATAAATAGGGAACGGATTTTTATGCAAATGCATAGGTACGTGCATTGGTAATTGCATTACGTGAGTTTTATTAAATCTGATGAGAATCGTCCCCGATTTAGATCATTCTCGTTAAAATAACATTAATTTTACTTTACATATTTTGTATATTTGTAGTTATGTAGTACATATTTATAGTTACAGCACATACATTTGTTTAACATTGTATTTTCACGTTCACCGCCACATGATATAGATAAAACGAGATCTTCGTTTTATCTACTCGTCTGGTTGTTACTGTCAAAAATAAAATGATATACATGTATGCTACATATATATAATTTATATTATTATTTAATAATAGGTTAATTCATATTCGTGCATATTATTTGTACGTGTCTAGTAATTTTTTTTTTTTTTTTTATTAGCTTCAAGTACAAAACTATTACAGCTCAACGATTATAATAAAGTGCTTAAAATTAAGTACATAATAGTGACATTGAGATAAACAGATATAATTATCGGTTAATATGACATAATTGATAATTAGGCTAATGAGATAGGGAATAAATTAATTATGGAATGGATTGATTTTTCAGTACAGCTGTAAGAAGAGAAATGAGAAGATTAATTAGTGAAGAAAGATCTAAAATAAATTTGGAAAAAAATGTGGTTTTTAGTGGAATTATTCGATAATGGAGTATTATTAGGATCGGCGACGGAAGAGTAGGAGACTTTGGGAGGGAGAGGTGATGGTTTTAGAATATTAGACGTGAGTAGAGTGTTCAGATTTCGTCGAATTGAATTAGTAAATTTGCGATGTTTGAGTAGTGCTATATATTTTGGACGTCCTTTGTAGTTTGAGGTGTGGTCACCCACGCAAAGGGCGCATGTGGCTTGGCTGCTTTTTTCTTTGGCGCAAGTGTCTGAAGAGTGACCACCCCCACATTTAACACAGCGTCTAGTAATTTATTTTTATTATTCGTGTGTAACATTAAAATGTCTAAACTAAAAACATCAATTAGAAGTAATTTAAAGACATAGGTACGTAAACGAGCATAAAAATATTTTTAAAACCGATGGTTCAATTTTGTATTGCAATATTTGTGAAATGTTTACATGATTTAAAATTAAATATTTTCGATTTAATTGTAAGCGCATATTTAAAAATAAATGCATATTACAAAATCTTTAGGAGCATATTTTGAGGATTACTTGTGCAAATTAATCCGTTCCCTAATAATAAAAGTTCAATGTTATATGGTTATAACAGAGATTTCGAACCTATGACATGCGCACACACTTTTGACGACACACTCAACTATTTAAAAACAAACAATTTTTCGTAAAATTATATAGATTAATAAAATAATTAAATATATATTATAAAAATATAATTTCAATAACAAAATATTGAATCGAATATCTACAGTGTAGATTCTACACTACTGAACAACTATGACTTTTAATTTTTTTCGATTAGAAAATCGAATTCGATAAGAACTTAATTAAGTAGGTACATATGTGAAAAGGGTTTACGGCTTATGGTACGGTCATACAGGGGCGTATTTAGACTTACTTCTAGGAGGGGGGCAACTCAAATTTTTTCTTTAATTCAGGCTCAAAATTTACAAGTAAAATTTTTGGTAATATTTATATCAGGTCAATTCTTAATATTTGTGTTTTTTTTTTTTTTTTAATCTAATGCCGGATCCACTTAGAATGCTCTTTTGTGTAGTTCTTTTTTAACACCTATCTGTGTTTTGAAAGTTTCGCTTGTGTTTTATCTAATTTTTCACTAAGTAGGACTGGGTCTTCAATCAAAATAATATATATTATTTATCGTTATGGGATATATAAACGTTTTAAACAATTGAGCGTAATAAATGCAAATGTAATAATAAACGCTATAAATAATTTAAACATTATTCAATTTAAGTGCTTAAACGTTATACAAATTTAAAGTTTATACAATATTCCGTTAACCGTTATTGAATATGAAAAAACGTTATGAAAAATTTGACGTTTTGCGTTATTTAATTTAGTGTAAAATTTGAAACGTTTTTAAATGTAGTAATACTATAAAATAAATCAAAATTTTTGTTTCTTAATAAAATACCCATTACTTATATAAAAATTGTCTTAGTCTAAAAATTCTTGGGAGGGGATTGTCCCCATCGCCCCCCCCCCTCAAATACGCCACTGCGATCATATAACGTAATTGTAATGTAACGGTTATTCGTCTTCGTGTGTTACATTTTATCGTTGCTTTTGATACTGAACGGAACATTTTGCCAGTTTTCATTATTGGTAAGTGTTGCGAGTTCTTCAATTAATTCAATTAAATCAACCGTAAGGAATCGTCTTGAAACAAATTTAAGTGGAGCATATGTTCAAATCAATCAATTACATTCCAAGGATTGATTTATTAGCCAATACAATTTAGCAACAAATTTCCATTAAAATTACATTTTTAAAATTTTTTATTTTCTATGAATTAAGACTTTGTTTAACATACTTTTGTGCTTTTTATACTTTTAATATCTATCATATTTAAACTGTTATAAAATAATAAAATGATAATATAAAAAAAATAATAATAATATTATAAATAATAAAATAATAAAAAAATATAATAATAATATAATGCTTGACTTGTTTTTTTATCATTTAATCCATGGATGTAACAATTTTTAAGTTAAAAAAATATTCATCGAATTAGTTGACACGCAGAGAAAATAAATTCTAGATAACATTTATTTTGACACGCGAGTACAGAAAGGTTCGCCATCACTGCCCTACAACGTATTATGTGTTAATTACATTTATTTATGGGAAACAAAAACCTTGGTCGGGTAAAAAATATCATACTAAGAATTAGTGTACATGACAGAATTACATACATTGTTTGAATACAGCATTCGAAATGACATTGTCTGCAATGGTTAGGTTAGGTTAGGCAATCGCAATATACATCGGTGCACCATTTTATCATATCGGTAGATTTAAAATCGTTAAAACAATGATACTTTGAAGTCTAGCCAAATTTATTTATTTATTGATTTATTTATTTTTATTTTTTCTAGCCAGAAGTTTGATTTCAAAATTGATATAAGAAAACCTATTAATTGAAACATATTTCTATTGTTTTTTTAGTAAATTAATATCTAGAGTAAACTTGAATTTTATTTAATAATTTACAATATGAAAGTAAGATCATGTTTGTCTAATAAATCATAGTTATCTTATGGTTTATGTAAACTAAAATGGTTAATTAATTTATACAGAGTCTTAACTACATTATATGATTCGTTTTTCAACATGAAACTGAAAAGTTGAAAATATTCCAAAAACAGTAAAAACCCAAAATCAAATATCATCCTTACTGCGTTGGTCGGCTGAATGAAACGAACAACTATGAAGTCTTAAAACATTCGTGTCCTTAATAACGTTTATATAAATACTGAAAATCGGAAAAAATCTACTCAACAATGATGGAGCATACCGCTTTAAAATATATTATATTTGTTAATTATATATATGTATACAACGTACCGAGATAAAATTTTATCTCTGTAACATTATATTTTATTTCATTTTATATATTTTGAATACATAATTTTGATTAACCTAAACATTTTTAAGTTTTTATATTTTACAATACAAGATGATTTATATATTGGTTTCTGATTTATTACATTTTTTAAGTAATCGATAAACGTAAAATAATACAAAAAAAACACGTTTGAGTTATATTCCTCACTTTAAATAGCCCAACCTTATTCTCTAGAATCTAAACAATTACTATTTATACTACGCCCATGTATTAATTTCGACGATGAATTTTCGTTAAAGTAAATTTATTCGAGGATTTTTCGCGCTTAATCGATATGCACCTAACATTTTTTTTAACAAAAATCCCATCTTAATAATGCAAAATTATCTTTTTCTCATTCGTGTGGTAGGTACTGAATAAAATTATTTTTCTAAAATTATCAAAATTTATAGTAACTGTATTATTTTTTAACAACATTGATTGTCAATGTTATTTTTATCACTACGCTAAAATATTTAGTTTCACTATAAATTTCTTCTTTTTATTTTTAAATTTTTTATTTATAATATTATCACCATACGTTTATTTTACCAAATTAGTTCAAGATCGTATTACTGTAAATCGTGAAAATCGTTTGTGAAACACACTAGAAACTAAAATGTGACTACAAAAAAAAAAAAAAAAGATCGAAAGTAAACACTCAACATGATTATAGCCAAGTAGTAGACTGTAAAAAAATAATAGCACACAGGAATAGACAAGTTTGGCGTAATTAGCTAAAGAGCCAAATTGTTTTTTCTGTAATGTCGCAATATTTTGTGTAAATTAATTTTTAAATATGTTTAACAGATCATTTATACTTTGAAAATATATTATTTTCTACACATGACGAAAATAAAATTAAAATAAGGCAATTATTCATTGTTTAATTAGAAATTATTTTAATTACAAGCTCATTCACTAGATATGAATAATATAAAATTAAATGATTGTGTTATTATTCTATATTTTCTTTCATTTTGTTTATGCAAATCTTTGATGAGTCATTTGTTTAAAACATTATAAATAGTTCAACAAGTCGAATTTAGAATAAAGGTTAAAATAAAACACAAATCAACAATCATAAAACAAATATAATGTATTTTTATAATACGTGTAGATGAATACAAAAAAATAAAAAATCAGAGCACCTACAATGTTGCAACAAATATGTGATTGAATGTGGGAGTGAAAAATATCAAATTTGAAAACATTTAAAATTTTAAGCGTTATAAAAAAGTGTTATTTATACTAATTAAATATATTGATTATTGCTTCTTCACTAATATATTAAATGCACAACTCTTATGATTCGAAACATTATGTGCTTACAATATATTTAAATAACAAAAATCAACAACGAATAGATTTTTTAAAAAAAATGGACAGTGAAAAAAAAAGTTATCAACAACTTAAAAATAGCAATAAAACACAGACATGGCAAGTGCATAAAAATATCCATAGATATTTATGAATATTTATAAACATAATATAAATTTAATACTAAAGTATAATAATAGTTAAATGATAATAAGGCATGATAAACATATGAGTAAAATTATTATAAGAGATGTTGAATGAGATTATGAAGAGAGTTCAGGGAGAGCGTCATCAGGATCTTCATTTGATGTTGCATCAGGTGGTCGCGTCCACTTTATTAATGTCTCAGGTGAACGATATAAGAACACAAGTTTAGCAAATAGATCTTCTTCTAAATCTAATTCACCACTTTCTCTTACCAAATAAATATCCAAACATAGTTGCAGAATTCTATCTACATATGGCATATCATCAAACATAATTTTGGTTGAAATACCAGTGAAAAAGCCTCGAACAAATGTGTGAACTACTATAACAAATGTTGTATATAGTCCAATAATCCTGTTAAATAAAATCATATGTGTTATTAAAAAATAATTATAATTTCTTAAAATTGTATTTAGTACTTATAATTTGTGGAAATTTTTAAATATTTTATGCATAATAATAAATTATTATTAATTACAGCTGAGTAGAAACCAATGTAACAAATAATGATTAATTATTTACAACTGTTTTTTAATTGAAATAAGAAATTAGCATACCTTTTAAAATTCTAATAACATAAAAATCAATTTTATAGACACTATACTTTCTTTCAAATATTAAATTAAAAAAAATACTGCATTAATAATGAAAATATGTATTAAGATTGTCTAAAAACAATAATGAAATATTTTTTTATTTTTTTTTAATATATACTACATAATATATTTTTAATGTAGTGGTAATATAGTATTAAACTTAAAAATACATCATATTTTCATTATCGATAATTGATTTTTCTAAGTTGTTAAACACTAATAAGTAAACATTTTTGGATAGAAAAATGATAAATATTTTACCCTTTTCCACTGATGATATTCAATGTTTCTGGAAATGCTTTATCATTGAATGTATATATTGTAAAGTTTTGTTTGTTACCTCCAGGAAGACATGAACTTTTAGGTAATTCATACAAATATCGAGCAGAAGTCTCATGAGGACATTCTTCAAATAAATCCCACCATTTTTCACTATCTTTGCTATTACTATCAAAGCTATTCAAGAACACACTCGCATTCATATACGGTTCACCTGAAATTTAAAATACAGAAAACTTGAAAAAATATGTTATTTTTCAACAATGATTATACTAATGGAACATACTTTCGTTACTGATCATAAGCTGCGACACTGCTAATGCTCCTCCAAATCCTGTAACTTTTATAAACTTAGGTATTAAACCATATAGCATTACACTATGGTTTTTCGTCGTAATGAGATTTGCTAATTCTGCACAAATAGTTTGGTTTATAGAAATCTCATGACTATCCTTAACATCTTTTGGTTGTTCTCCGTAAGAATTCTTGCGGTTAATTGCCCAATCAGTTTTAACCGTGTAAGAAGCATCTAAAAAATTTTTTTCATCAAATGAATTCAGCAAGGTACTTTTAGAAAATATTAATACTAATGTTTAATCAAGTAAACAAATTAAAAAAAAATTTATTACTGGGTTTATTAAGTTCATATATCATGCTATCCAATTCAGGAGGACTAATTGACCATGTATTTGCTGAATGAGTTGTAATGTGAAATACACCAACATCTTCATAATCATAGTTTGACAAGAAAGTTTGTGCTGACCGAGACTTTTTGTAGACATTTATCATTGAGTACCAGTCAGCTTCGTCAAACCTGAAAAGAAATAATTTGTAAATATTTGGTAAATTTGTTTTTAACTAGTTAAATAATGTTGAAGTACTAACTTCTCAACGGTTCCTTCAATTGTCATTGTATATATAGGTTGATTCGATCCAAGTTTAACATTTAGAGTCATACTTTCAGGTAAATTAGGTTTTCCAACTGTATTTCCAAGAGCAAACAATACCAGTGGAAATGAAATAGCAGCCACTAAACCGATCAAGCACCCACCTCCAATCAAGTATTTTTTTGCTGGTGTAACTTTTATACCTCTAGGATTCGGATACTCATTTTCCACACGCCTTGAACACTGAAAATAAAAATAATTATTTTGATCTAAAACAAATTCAAATAGTTAATACTTTTAGTTGGAAAATGTGTGCAAAAATATCTTCCATTTTAAGCCAATCTGGTAACGTCATTGATGTTTCAGTCCATACCCAGTCCATAATAGTTCGTAATTCAAAGACGAATGGGCACAACATAAAACTATATACAAATTTTATATCACAAAAATTGCTAAGTTAAATTGTATTGACATAGCTGCTTACAGTTTGAATAGAATCATGTTTATGTAATTGTAATTTTTACATAAAACATTTCCGAGAATTCTAGTTGGATAACCACTTCTTATTTGATATGCAGATAGTAACAAATAAAAGCATTTTACCATATACCAAACTTGAGGTGGTATAACAGCATTAAATTGTCTAAAAGTGTACCAGTATGTTAAAATTGTAGATATATAATTGAAAACTAGGTTTACCTTTCTGTGACCCCGGGTAATATAAAGAACATCCAAATATGAGAACCAATTATTAACACGAATTGGAATAGGATTTTCCCAAGAATATACTTTCTTAAATAGAGCAACCGGTCAACAGTGATTAACGCAAATTGGAGTGTCAACATGATTAAAAATGGAACTGGAACTTTATTTTCTTCAAAGTATTGAGACACACCACCATCACTTTGTGACTATTGGTAAAAAAAAAAAAAAAAAAAAAAAAAAAGTAAAAAATAATTGTTAGTACTTGAAATTTTATTGAATAAGAATGAATTTATTTATTATTTACCCCAAAAGCAGAAAATCCGAAAACAACAACAAATATATTGATGAAATCACACAAGAACATATACGTATACACGTCAGCATTAACTCGTGAGCTAGAATCAATCAACTGTTCAAAGAAAGACACTAATGGACTGCAATGCTTTTTGAGACTGAAAAAAAAATTTTAAATAAAAAAAACTTTAAGTATTTCTCTAGATATAGGTATAACTTAATAATTTACTTACGATGATGGCATTATTTCTAACAGATTATCATTTTCAATTGAATTTGATTTATCAAATGATTGTTCATAGGATTTATGAATTAATTGAACGTCCTTGTTACTGGAATGTAAAAATTCAGGAGCCAATACAACCGTCGTTTGCTCAGTATTTGTGTCATTATCTATAGATCCTTGATAACCCTCGGAACCCATGGAACATCTAGTGTCAATTGTATCAAATAATGATATTTGATTGATAGGCGTTCCTTTAAATGACAGTGAACTTTTCCACAGACCCAATGACTTCAACATGGTTCTAAATCAATAATTATAACTTCTTGATAACTGTATTAACAAACCAATATTTATAATTCCAATAATTTTACCGATGAAAGAACAGAACAAGTAGTAAGAACAAATCGTATGTGGCATAATTTGGTTTTTTCTCAATACCAATAATTCTTGGCAAGAAGAATGGCATATTATCGGTAACAACTTGTTGATTCCATGGTATCATGTCGAATTGAAACATACATTTGATGACAACAATTACCTAATGAAAAAATGGCATTTAAGTATGTAGATTGCAGATAACTTACGAGACTTTACTTCTGTGTATGCAATAAGTGTGACCCAGAAATTTTTTGTTGGTCGAGGAACAGTAAGTGTTCCCCAAAGAAAAACCATCAATGGCAATGGTAAACTTAAAATGGTAGCCGATTTAATTTGATGCAAAAATATCATAAAATAACACACTAAATCAGAATGTGATATGATAGCAAACCAAACAGCAAGGACAAGACGCATAAGTTGAGGTTGATTGGAAGCATTTAATTCTTGTTGTTCTTCAAGTTCTTCTAATTTTTCTGCACTATAAATAGAAAGTACATTGCACTATAAATAATCATTCCATATTTTTAAAGCGCAACATTTACCTTAAAGTTACACTTTTACCAACAAATGGCATAGGCTGCCAAATCATCGATGAACCTGTCCTTAGGCCAATTCCAAAACCTCGATTTTGCTAGAATATATTAATATTAAAGAAACTACTAAAATAATAAAAATAAAATGAGAAATACTTTTAATGTTTTTTTTTCTACTGCTAGGGTCCGAATAACATATCTATAGTCCCGAGAAATTTTATTTAATTTTCTAGTTAGAGTTGTTGTTGAACTATTGACAAAAGCCATAAATAAATTAATATTATCTCTGATTTTTTTGCTAAATGATTTTATTTTTTCTCCATCTTGAGTTTCTAAAATGATTAAATATAATAGTACAAAATTAAATATTTATTTTTATTAATGTGATTGAATACCTACCTTGTGTTACATCTTCTAGATCGCCCCTAAAACAACAATTTTATAAAGTTAAATTTATTTTTATTAAAAAATATATGTTAATTATCAATAATTATTTAATTATTACTGGTCAAATCTGCTTGATTCTCCAACTACTGATTTGTCTCTCACTTTCTTTTTCTAAACAAAGAAAAATTATAAATAAAAAAAATGAGTATTGAAATTAAAACTTTATTATATATTCTTACTACTTGAAAATCATATTTATCAGTATCTGTTTTATCTGAATCCTCCATTGAATCATCACTTAATTCATTATCTTTTTCCACAATTGAATCTAATTCGTCATCAAATTCATCAAACATGTAATAATCACCAGAACGGATAGCTGTAAAAATATTATTATTTTATAATAAAAACAATATTTAATATAATAATATACAACACAACTTCAATAACTATAACTTCAATTTAACAAAAATATTTATAATATAAAATGATGATACATTTTTAATATATCATCATTTACTTAAAAACTAAGTTCTTTTTAACCGATGTAAAGTTATTGAAGTTCTATTGTAAAATTGATAAGTATAGAAACAAAAAAAAAAATAAAATCATTAATACAAGGAAACTAAAATATTGTGCATAAAAAATACTATAATAATAAGTTTCTCGTATAAAAATTGCACACCATGCTTGAATTTAAATTTTCTGTCATGATATTAATAAAATATATAATATCTAATTCAATAAAAAAAAAAAAAAACTAATAATAAGCAGTCAATTGTATTCATATATATATATACGCATATCAACTGAAAACAGTGATTAAAATAAAGGCTTATTCGATTTTGTGATGTTTTTAATTTTTATCAATATAATAATTTAAAACTGTATAATACAATATAATTTAATATTTACATATAGTTTGAATAATCAAATTGGCAAATTAAATCATAAGATATTTATAATGTGTTAAAATTTATTGATTCTTAATTTAAAACTGAATAAATTCCTATTTTTTTTTTTTTTTTTTTTTTTTTTAACTCTCGTTATAAATAAAAATGTGCAAAATTATGAAGATAAAGTGTATAATAATCGTAAATTAATATTATTAAATTATTACACACATATGTACAATAATGAAAAAGTATAGTTCTAATACCTACTTATGAAATACAGTCTAACATAAAACAAAATTCATAATTAATTTATAATTGTGTACTTAGTAAGAACAATAATAAATCACTTGGTGTCCTAAGTTCTAAATTATAAGACTTAAAGATTTTACCTGAGTATTAACATCAAAAAGATTAAAACAATAATTATAAATAAGACAGACACAGAGATAATAGTAGACATTAAAATAGAGAACCACAACATAGATTAAGTTAAAAATGTCTGCTATTTAGGTAGTAAATTTACATATGAAAATAGAAGTATTGAAGACATGAAGAAAATAATTGCATTTGTTTAATTAGCCTTTTAGAGAAAACGATAACTACTGGTTAACCAAAACCTGTCAATAAAGAAGAGAAAAAATTATATTTTTATTGAACTTTTTATTGAATAATAAGTGCAGAGCTAGGGTACTTGAGAAACAGGAGTATAACAGGTTAATCACTTCATAAATGTGGTTCTGGAAAATTAATTTTAAAATTAATCGCTTCATAAATGTGGTTCTGGAAAATTATCCTAACAAGTATAACAGCGAGAATTATGAGATAGTAGCTGACATAAATTAAAAAAGGGAAATCGTACAAACCATAAATTATATAAAAAAAATTATTTGAACGCCGGTTTAAGCGTAGCAAATTTTTAAATATAATTTTAGAAGGAAAAGTTTAAGCAAAAAACTAGAGGAAGGCCTGGAACATATATTCTCGTGAGCATTGTGTGACACAATAGTTAATTGAAATACAAGACCCTAAAAAAATGGCATAAGATCCATACATTTGACTTTGACGACAATAATAAGGGTTATGCCTTAAGTGAAATAAGAATAAATAATAATATAATACTTAATTTTCGAAAAAAAATGTTAACATACACAGAAAACACATTGAACGAAAATTATCATACTACTTAGAACCATCCAATTTAATAATATTAATAATTGCAGTGGAATGAGATGGGAAGAACCAGTTCTAATAAAAAATCATATTTTTATTGTATTAGCATACATTTATATGTATGTATTGTAAATTAATAACTGACTACGAGTATCAAACTCATCCATTCCAAGCACAATTTTTCGTCTATTTTTGTACAAAATAATATTTTTCTAATAACAACGATCATACATGTATAGTACTTAAATCGGTATACACTTATTTACTATTTATCAATATCATAATATATTTATATAACTTTATTTAATATAAAACATTAATTTATCCGAATAAAATAACATAAAATGATTTGTGTTAGAGTATAATTAAACTCATCTCAATCCACATACCTCAATTATAAGTAGATTTGGTAAGGTTAAGTCCACTGATGATTACAATAGATATAATATTATTTAATATTATTTCAGTACAGATCATTACCAAAATACATTTAATTAGGTACATAATTTATGCCAGACCATAAAAATAAAATATTCAAATATAATTATTTCAAATACTACAAATACTAAAAAAAAACCATATTAAAATTCAAAAAAAATTAAAATAAATATTTAAGAAAAGTATGATACGAGAGATTTTATGTTGATAATTCATTTTTGGATTGATATGCAAGTTGCAGTATTTTACTTATGTAAGTTATGTGTTATTAGTAAATACAGTTGTTAGTAAGTTTTATATAAGTTTTAACGGTTATTAGTTTAAATAACTTAATGTAGTTGCTTAATATAATAATATTTAATAATAATTTAATAAAATCAACACATAACAAGATAAATGAGTTCATGAAATTAGTTTTTATTACTATAAGATTGTTGATGGTATCATCTCTTAATTTGGTATATGGTACAATGAGTTGGCAATTAAATTATTTTTAGTTAAATTGAAATATTCTATTATTAATGTACGTTCATCAACATCATTCTAAAATAATTTTAATTAAAACTAGATACTTCAGAAGCTAAAAATTAAATATTATAAATAACACTTTAAATGACAACAGAATAACAATAGTATTAGTTAACTGAAAAATCCCAACAGATTTTTAGTCTCAATTTCAATTCTTGACTTCGAATTTGCTCGCATTAATACATTAATAATTAAAATTTCTAAAAAAATTGAAACTAGTTATCAACTAGATAAAAAAAAATAATAAATAATAAAGCACATACACATCCTAAACATTAAATAATTTAAATTCATATTTTACCGAAATGTCATTAAATAATCTAAAATTATAGACACTTGTTTTGGTAATAAGGGAATAATACGAATAAAATACATACAGTAGGGTCTCGATAATCCGAACGAAATCGAGAAAAGAGATCGTTCGGATAAGCAATTTATTCGGATTATCTATGGCTTAATAAAATCAACAATTTTATTATAATTTAAATCATGAAATTTATTTTTATCTGTATTAATCATGTAAAATCGTAATTTATAAAGACAATTTAAACAAAAAATTATTATAATTATATATGAGTGTATGTACAGATAATATTTATTACATAATATGAACCTTATTATTTAAAATATATATTTACTATTATTATGAAACACATACATATGTATTAATATAGCGATGCGATATTTCTCAAGTTCGTTCGGATTACCGCGTATTTCGGATTAGCCTGTATTCGGATTATCGAGACCCTACAGTATCAAAGTATGTACCCGGTTGGTATGAGTAAACATGGAAATTATTAAAATATTGTTTTATACTTCTCGCATTTGTGCATTAAAATGAATTTAATGTAAAATGTTATTTTTCAAATACTACTTGGAATAAAAATGATTTATAACTAATGAATTGATAGTATTAATATACTTGATGGTGAATAATTGATAAAAAGCCATAAAGGGAATTATGATTGTTTTAAAGAAAAACGTGATGAAGACATATTTTTCTTATGGCCATGTGGTTTAGTGATTAATTTTACAAAGCTAACTGATGTTAGTGCTTACTTATGATTTAAAACTGTTAAAGCGTAGCACGTTGTCTATCAGTGAATGCATAATAATTACAAACCATGGACTTCAATTATCAGTTAACAATGCTTCTGTTTCGTCTGAAGTTGATTGGGTTTATTTTTATTTATATCTTCAGTTGTATACAACACAATAAGCTGAAATTTTATTTAAAACGTAAAAAAAAAAAAACAATATAAAAAGCAAGAAAAATATTTCTGTATAAACTCTATAATTGATCAAAAATAAATCAATTACTTTTGATACACATACACAGTACCTAGTTATTCAGTGAATAATGATACTATGTTAATATAAAAACGATGACGATTACTATAACAGAAAGGTTATTCTATAAAATTAATTAATTTGTCATTGAACGTAAAAACCGACTAGTAACAAACTATTAATATAATTGTTGTACAAATTGTATACATCATTGTACAAGTTAGGTTATTAAATTTGCTATGTACATGTTCAATAAACTTTGAAAAACCAAAGATTTTTTAAACCAATTAGAGTATACAATTACACTAGAAATAACAAGGCAAAAATATTTAACATTTTAAAATAAGTTTATAGAACTTTTAAGCTGAAATATATATACAGCTATGATAAGAAATTATTTTAGCACTATATGCAAGCATTATGCATTAGCAGAAAGTTAGTACACACAAGTATGATGAGATGTCGTAGCTGAAGCAGATCTCTTGCGTGGGTACCATGTTGAGGGTACACCAAGCGAAGATTGACGTCGATGTTGTATTGTTGGTGGAGGTGAAAACACACCAGAGTAAATAGCACTTTCATCAAATGACAAAGGTCGTCGATGATTAGTGCTACTGAATGACATACGTTGTGGGTCCAAATAACCATCAAGTGATACGGTTAAAACAGTGGATGTGGGTGTTGGAGGTTGTAAATACGATAATGTTGGTGGTTCGTCTTCAAGTGGCGTGTGAAAACTTTGAAGGATAGAACTGCCTGATAAATCGCGAGCCAGAGGGGCGAACGCAATTTCTTCAGCTGTTAGCATCATTATAAATTTTTAATTTCACTTTCATAGTGAATATTTTTTAATTACTACAAATAAATGTTAGTAATCAAAATAAACTAAGGAATATAACTTATTAAAGCTATAAATAGTTTTAGAACTAAAACATATTTATTACCTATAATTTAATACAACTGATTTAAATCAAATAAATATTCAACTAAATGCCTATTACTATTGTTGATTAATATTTAAAATTAAAAATCCGATTATGTGCTTGCTATAATGTATAATATAATATACTGTACCTATATATTTTAGTATACTACTTAAAATTAAATAACTTGAACTGAAAATAAGTAATTAACTTCAGTAACTTATATTTTATTTTTATATAAGATGTGTTTTTTTGAAGTTGATACATAATGTTCAACAAGAGAGTGATAAAACTAAGTAATTAATCAATTTTTAATAAAACTAGAATGTTATAAATTAAATGTACCTTTTTCATGCGACTCGGGTTCTTTAACACCAAAACCTTGGATTTTCTTTTGGGTAGCTTTAATTCGATCCATTTTAGATTTTATTTTTTCCAATACCTTACGTTCCGACTCGTGTTGTTCTTGGATTCTTTTTTGAGAAAGCTCTTGAATTAATTCGGCTCCCCTAATTATGATAAATCCATAAAGAATTTTATTCAAAAAATGTCAATTATAATATTAAATCCAAAACTTGTGTTTTACAAAATATAATAACAACAAATTTTACTATCTACTTATTACAATATGTTTACCTAGATGCTAATATGGCCATTGCTTTTGTTTCATCTACAATTCTGAAGAAGTAATGGCTATTGAATAAACGTCTTTGAAATATTAAAAATCCAAAACATAAAATATCCCACGCTAAGCCAACATGTTCAACCGGTATTTCACAATCCTCATTTTCTGAAGAAAAAAGTTATGTTAAAGAAAAATGCTATATACTTTTTATTAAATCAAAACTTGTGGTTAAATATCAACCAAGCTAAATAATTAAAAATTTAAAATGTTAAGTACCTGATGGAGTAACGGCTGGATGATTAGTAGAAAACTTTTGAATACAAGATATACCAAAAAGCTGTATCATCCAACAGGCATTCATCTTCATGTAATTCATATATATACAACCAGGTATCTGGAGTATAGCTTTCAAAAAAATAACAGTAATATTGTAGAGTATTAATTTATTCCACCTGAATATTAAATAAATATTTTAATAATTGCATTTGAAATATAAACTATAAAAAAAATAAACCTTAATAATAATACCATTTAAGAATAACATTAACTGGTCGAAGATAATAGTCATTGCCTTGCCATAAAAATATGAAAGAACCAATTAAATATCCAAGAGAAAATAAGTTAACTCTATTGGTACCAGCCAAGAATACGATGGCTAATGTAAACCAAATAAATCCAATGAGAACAATTCGCTTCAGTATATCAAGCCATGATCTAAATATGTATATAAATAATATATATATTAGAATTATTCAAATATTTTATGTGTTGTAAAATTAACCTAATATGGGTAACAAAATCGGGCACTGGATTTATAAAACTAGGTTTTTCTGCTTCTTCAATAATAGAACGATTTGTCCCACCAGGATATTCAACATCTATATGTCTTCTTTCTATTTTGAAGACAATAGATTGACGAGACACAAATAGTAATACAATAAAATCACCTGTAATGAATAAAAACCATGCCAATAACAATCTAAACTAATTTGTAAAAATATTTATGAATAACAATTTTAAAAGTATTAATTTTGGATTTATAAAAGTAAAAACTTTTACTTAAGGAAAAAAAAAAGTAATTTGTCTTACAAAGTAATTTATAAGCATCTGGTGGAGAATCAATATCTGGTAAAAACATCCAATCACGAAAGTTGCTCAAAATTTCATTTTTATCCCATGGCAATGCTGTAAAATATAATATAAAAACATTTAATAATTTGTTAACAAGTGAACCTATATCAAAATAATAATATAGTTTAAATAATAATATATTAATTTAAAATAATTATAATTAAAATCATTGAGTTATTATGATGAAATAATTACCTAAACAAATATCTGGTGGTAAGCCAATGACAATAGCATATTGCAATGGTATTGTAATAACAATAAAAAACATAAAAACTATCCACGCTTTTGCTAATGTTCCTCTTGATAACATAACAAAAATCATTAACCATAACGCATAAAGTACAGCATAAAAATCCATTCTGGTTCCTATTAATATGGCCACAGATATTAGGGTAATCTATAAATAAAATAAAACAAATTTAGATATGTAAAATGTATTAACATTTTCTATTTTGAAAACTTCTTTTAATAATTACCTCAACACCAAATCGATAAAAACCAAAGTTCAATAAATATTTAAGACAGTGAGGAATGTCAAGATCAACATCTTTAAATGTAATACCTGGAAACATCCTTAAAGGTTTTGCTAATGGTCTACCTTTTAAATGTCTCTTATATTTTTGTCGAGTAATTACTACTCTATGTAATGTAATAACAAAAACTATGCCTGTAAAGAAAAAATTAATTTTAATAATAACATTTTTTTTTATAAATATTGGCATATCTTATTTTAATAACTTATATATACATATATAAAAACATGTTAAAATTAAATTAATATTTATTGGAATACAACTTAATAGGTTTATGCAAACATTAAAACTTACAAATATAGCCTTTAAGTAAATTAAGTAAAGATAAATTAGCTGTAGCCTTTTTGAATCCAACCCAATTTGCAGTGTTGTAATCTTTAGTAGAACTTGGATTATCAGGATCCTTTAATAGAATAATTATAAGGTTTAAGTTATAAAGAAAACTATTTTGATAAATTATACAATATTGTAAGTAATTAACATACCGGACATGTAACATTCCATCTACCTTCTCTTATATATTCAATTTGATAAATCATCTTGGTTAGTAATAATATTGATACATACACAGATATGATGTAGATAATAATTGATTGTATACGACTATTAAATACTAGTGAAATAGTTACCAATGCAACCAATACAAAATGGACCAAACAAACCTAATCAAAATTAATAATTAATATAAATTTACACTTGTACGAGTATTTTTCAAATATAAACTACCTCGTAAACTGCCAAAAACATGACACACAATAATATAATTTTTATCATGTGTAATTCGGCGTACAACCATGCCAGTTCAATTATATATGAAAGAAAGGTTTTAAAAATTTTAAAGAATGAACGTAATTTGACTTTTGGAAGATCTACAAAAAAAAAAAAAAAATTAGGTTTATACGCTATTATACAGATGATTCCAATAACAACAATAATAAATTTACTTTTAAATATTTTAAAAGATTGTCTTTCTGAAATAAAGCTTGAACGTGGTCGACATTTTTCAGTCAGAGATATGCTAGAATTTGATGATTCTTTATCACTATCTGACTCAGAAGAATTCCCTGGTTTGGATGGTTTCACAATACTAGTCCCTCTGTAAAAATTACATTATATTTTTAAAAATAATAATTCAATAGCATAAAAATTCCAGTAAGAAACTGTTATTGAACATACCGACTTTTAATATCAGAAATTGCCAAAAAATCTTTATGGAAATAGTAAAGTTGGACAACAGTGATAATGACAAAAAATGTTGGAGTTAAAAGACGAACGAAAAGCTCTCCAGTTTCAAACTTTTCCAAACCAATATCAAGTTGCCTAAAAATAAAAATAAATAAAATAACAATTTAAAATTAATTATGCAATTTACAGAAACTTACAGTGTGGGCGGAATTTTTAAATATTTTTCCCAATAATACGGAAAATTATCAAACTGATATGTGTATGTCATAACTAATATGAGCATAGAATATATTATGACCGTAAGCCAGAAACCATACATAATTTTCCTCCACAAAACCCATGACAGCTATAAATACAATTAAAAAATATTTATATTTATTATTTTTTTTTTGTTATATATGAGACACATATCTCAAGAAAAATGTATAATCTAAATTTAATAAAATAAAGTAATCACTATTATAGGTTATAAACTATATGAAATAAAAACTTATTCATAATATATAATATTATAATTAATAATTAATAATTTTTTTACTTGAAATGTTAGTAAAAATATTAATGCCAGTGCCATGTAAATAATTCGGAATATTGTCATCCTTTCACCAGTGATGCCAATTCCAAATAATACAAAAGCTACAACCCAAATCCAAAATTTGGTTAGAATAATTTTTGCTTCTTCGCCTAATCTTTGCATAAGTTGACTGCCTTTTGTATTTGAATCACCTCCCATAGCTGTAGAATATACATTTTTTACCCATCAATAAATGTAGAACAAATAATAAGTAGTTTTAAAAAATTGCAATAAATTAATAGTAAATATAATCTTATGAAATATCTTTTTAACTAATATAGGTATAACTCACCAGTTGCTGTTCCTACTGTAACTTGAAGAGGTGCTATCATATTAGCTACGGCTGAATGACTTCTAGCTTCTCTTCTTTCTTGCATAAATTGTCTCAATGTAATCCAAAACATAGTTGTAAATAATGTCTATGATAAATTAATGATATCAGATTTACAACACTAAGTTTAATAATAATTATAATTGTAATACAAGAAAAATATGATATATGTTACCTTGATTATTAAAGGTTTGCAAGGAAAATGAAGCACTTTAGTGAATCCAATTTGTTCTAAATTCCAATCTTGAATGGTTTGGGGCAATTCGTTGTCATTTAAATTCATACAATATAAGAATTGAGATAAAAGTAAAAATTCTGCATAAAAAACTAGGAACGGTGATGACCTTAACATAGTTTTTCTTTGTTGAGGAACCATCCAAGAAATACTAGCCCATAACAGCAATATAAATGTTAACCAACTATGATATGTTATACTCCAAGCCTATTAATCAAATCCACAAATGTTTTAAATTAGTTCATTAAATTATTATTAATAATTTTAATTAAAATTTAATTATAAAATAAATTACCATCATTACAATATTTGTGCCTATATATGAAGTGCGCGTAATAAATTGTGAAACAGTACTTAGGACATCCATTAAGTAATAAAAAATGTTTGACTTATATTCTTCTGTGAAAATAAAAAATTTAAACATGCATATTAATTGATAAGCTTAAAGTTGAGTAAACTCAAAATGAAAAAGTGGGTTCTTACTATCATCTGAATAACCATCTTTCTGGGCATTAGGTTTTTGGACTTCACTTTCTACAACACTGCATGAAGGACTATCAGTTCTAGTTGGACTTGTAGTATATAGAGTGCTTTGACCACGAATCAACTATTGTAATAAAATTAAATACAACAATATGGCTCAAGATATATTATAGTATTAATTACAACAGTGAACATACATTTTTAATGTGAATGTGAAAAATATTGTGATGTACAGCTTTAAAATTGATATGCAATTAACTAAAAACTCTCAATATTCACAGCTATATTTTTTAATTGTACAGCATGTTTAAAATATTTGATTGAATGATTTATTGTAAAACAAAAATAACCCAATTTGTTCAAATGTTAATACACATATTAAAATTTTATGTTTTTAAAAAGCATTAACACTAAAATTGTATTAATCAAACGATATACATTTTATTTTAAATTTCAAATTTAATTTAGATTCAATGACTTTACTTAATGTTGTCAACATGCATATATATAGGCATATGGCTGAGATTATACCTTGCTTACTATGTATACTTTAATACATTACATACAATATTTGTATAAGGTTTAAGATTGTTAATATCTGCCCTAAATTATATTTATATTATTATAGCTTTGCCTGTTGGATGTTTAAACATTAATATAATTTTAAAATAAAAAAATGTGTTGAAGTTAAATTTTCTATATTTCACAAGGGCTTAGGACTTTAATCACTAAAAATTATTATAACATTTACAATTTGTTATGAAAGAAACATATAATTAAAAACATACAGATAGAAACACAAATGTAATGATACTTCTTAAAAGCAACTTATCATAGGAATTAATATTTTTTCTCATTAATTTAAAAAAATTTAAAATTAATACTTCTACAATCAATAAGAATATAAAAAAGAAAAATGGGAACAATAATATAGAATAATATATAAACATAAATCATTAAATATGCTCTTACTTGACAGAATTATTATGGAATTAAAATGTATGCTTTATATTAAAATTGTTCATATTCTAAAACATATTGTTTTATTAATCAATGTTATTTATTTAAAAAAAAAAACGCTGTAAGTCCGAACCCTATTTATTACATTTAGTACATCATTTTTATAGTTAAATAATAAATAAATTATAGAAAATATCATTAAGTACATTAAATAAATAAGCAGTCTGTGTGTATGCATTTTGTAAAGCGAAAAAAATATCATATTGTTAATACAAATTATCCCCAACTCTTACTTGAATGATTACCAAATGTTTTTCAAATTCTAAAAATTTTCTTTACCTCATTTAGCTGTACATCCTGTTAATTTAATTGAGGTTAAAGTAACAGTAAATCAAATCATAATAAAATAATATACAAATATTATATACATACAGGTGTACTTTCCGTGGGAAGAGCCATATTATGTTCGGTAAAAGCGTGCATCTATAATATAAATATTAGTGCGATATAAATTAAAAAATCTTAAATGCATTTTTAAAAAGATAAGTAAAAAATAAAAATTTTATAAATAAATAATTATAGGAGTATAAAAAAATGAAGCAACAAAATCAAAAAAAGCTTCAATAAAAATATCAAGAGATTGATGATAAGAGCATATACACTATAAATATTAATTTATTTTATTTTAAATAATGAAAATTTCTAAGAAAAATTATACTAGTGAAATGTGACTACTTACATTATTCAATAAGTTATATAAAATAGAAAAAGCCATTTGACATTATTAGGCCAAACATATAAGACGACCCCTTCTATTTTTTATACATAGAAGTTGCTCATTTTACAAAACTATTTATCTATCTTTGTAATATATTTTCATTAATTTTCTTTTTGTTTAAATATTATTTTTAGCTAGTAACACGAATATAATGAGAATTTAAATACTTCATTATATTTTTTCCCCTAATTTTTATAATATAATTTAATTATATATATATGTAGATATTAATTATTTAAAAATAGATAAAAACTTAGTGCTGTATTCAAATTCCAGATTCACTATCATATTCAGCCCAAAATAAACATATACGAGTAATACAATTTAAAATTATAAAAATATTATTTTTAAATTTGTAAATTATTATATGAGGTCATCAACTTTTACATGTAAAAATAGAGCGGTAGACATTTTGCTGATAACCCATAAACAACTTATCTTTAAACATATTTTTTCGAATGTTACATAATTTTATTTAATAGATGTAACTATGATCATTTTACATTAAATAAAAAAATATATATGATAACTCTTCATGATAACTAAAAATATAATTCATTCAAATGTACAGTAACTTTACTTGTCACTCAACATACTTTATTGTACAAGAACCTCTATATTCGAGTACATATTTACATTTTTTTCATATTTTATATCACTACCTTTATTTTATAGAAAACTTAGTTAACTAAATTATAATAATGAAAATCTTATGATTATTATAAACAAAAATAATTATATGTACAATATTATAATTTTTTTTTAAATTAAAAAATTATTTATACATAATTTGTTAATCTAAAAATATAGAAATAAATATTCCTAACATATTGCAAAATATGGTATACATAAGTAATATATGTTATCTAAGTGTTAAAAACATTTAAAACTTGTGATCAAATTTGCGGTGCATTTTTCACACAAAACACATTGAAGTGTGTATTAATTATGTGATAAAAGAAAATAAACATACGCAAACTTTACGAGTGGCAGCACGCCACCGATTGGTTTTATTTCGAAAAAAATATCTATTGGGACCTTTTTGAGATAAACGAACTGTTACTTGCCGAGTCATTCCTAATGGTTCTTTTGTTTCGAGATCCTGTAATTTGAATACCTAATTTATACATCGTAATGGATGCAATTTAAAATTATTGTACCTAATGTTTTAATACCTGATATTAATTTTTTCATAAACTTATCAAAATATACAGATCATAAATTTAAATAAATTTACAATCTACGAAGAATATACCATTAGCATATGTTTTATATGTATAACTGTAAAACTTTGACTGTATGATATATATACTAAGTAATATTAAAGGCAGTTTTTGGAACAAAAAATCAAAGGTTTAGATTTCTATACTATCTGTAAAGATATCAAATATTGTTATTTGTTACCGTAATTACACTGGTACATACTCGTAAGTATAGTCATTGTTTAAGTTTTTTTTTTTTTTTTTAATTTTAGTCATTAGTTTCAAACAATATTCTTACCATTAATATCAGAAATTAAAAAAAAAAAAAATCATACTCTCAATTAAACACACACACACACACATACATATATATATATATAATTTCATGATTGTATCATATTTATTTTTGTATTTAAAATAATTATGATTTGTACTCAATACAGAGTTTAATAATATTTTGAATGATTACTAGAAGAACTTAACTGTACAACACAAAATATAATTTGTGTTGGAGTACATTACCTATACTCATATTTATTTTGTATTATTAATCTACCAAAAATTATAAGAATATCTACACATTCAGAGCTAAAACATAGTTTATAAGAACAGATTCGCTATTGGTAACATTGTACTAGCCAAACATAAAACAAAAATTGCAAAAACAAAAAAGACAAATAATACAAGGGAAAATAAATATTATTTGAGAAATAGACTATTATGTATAAATATATATCATACCTTTTAAATATTTTCCCTTGTGAATACAAAAATTCACATCAAAATGCATCAAAGATGTTAGGTCATGAACTGTAAACTAAGTGACAAGAGCAAATTTTAAAACCCTTACTAAATTTATTTATGTAATTGAAATGCTAATTGCTTACATATTCAATAAATAAAATTAAAATTGTTATAAAATATATTTTACCCATGTTCATCTAAGTCAAAAACAATTATAATAAATATATATTAAATATTAAATAACACTCCGTGCTCAACCCTTACCGAGCACACATGTTTATTAAACGTCCACAATTTTTTTTATGTTTCATTTATACAACTTTGTCGATTTTAACAAAATTAATACCGTTGAAAAGGGGGAAAAAAGACGAATCACTAGTATTTCAGGTCTTACCCACTACGGGGGTCTGTGCAGCTCCAAGGTAAGAAAAATCACATTTTTAATTACCGTTGCACAAAATGTCTAACCAAAATAATACGTTGCCCCCCTCGTTATCTAACCAAAATAACACGTCACTACGCTCACCACCACAAAAGAAGCACTACAACAACAAACTGATAACTCCAATTAAAATTGTAAATGGCAATCAAATAATTAAACAAAACTAAATAATAAACTATAATAAATTATCATCTGTTAATTGGACATTGATAATGCCTCTTCACTCCCAAAAACGTCAGCATACTCCATCACCTATTACGTCTCCCAAAATCAAACAAAGCAATACATCAAGCCAGTTCAAAACAAAAAATCGTTACGCCTCACATTCTGAAAACTTATCTACTCAGGAAATGGATACTGATCAAACGTCTGATTCACTAAACACCAAACCACAATTACCACCTCCAATTTTTATCAAATTTGAATTCAACTACAAAAAATTCTGTGACGCTATCAAACTATTTATCAGTCCCGAAGAATTCTTTTGCAAAAGTCTTATCAATATCCTAAAACTTCAAACAAAATTGGCCGATTCATTCCAAAAAGTAACTAAATTGCTCAAAAAAAAAAAAGTTAATTTTCACACTTATCAAATTAAAAAAGACAAACCATACAGTGTCGTTTTTCGGAACTAACAACATACCACGCCTATTGATTTTATCATCCAAGAATTAAGTGAAAATGGATTCACTGTAAGACAAGTTATAAATGTAAAAAATAAAATAACAAAAATACCATTACCCCTATTTTTTATAGACCTTGAACCTGACCAAAATAACAAAGAAATATTAAAATTAACTTCATTAAGCTACACCAAAATTAAAGTTGAAGAACCACACTTTTGACGTCAAATAATACAATGTCTTAGATGCCAAGATTTTAGTCTCGAAAACAAACTGTAATCACGCACCCCGATGCGTGAAATGTGAGGAAAACCACAATACCTCTGCCTGTTTAAAACCTACCGACCAACCACCCAAATACGTATTATGTGAAGGACAACACCCAGCAAGTTACCGAGGTTGCATTGTATAAAAAAATCTACAACAGACACTAGAATAATAAAAAAAGAATTAACCAAGATTTCTAATCTGATATCAAATTATTAAATAACAATAACAGGATTACCACTCTTTTTGTATTTCGAAATTCCCTGACTTTTACAGGTTTTCCAGAAAAAAAATCACATTTTTCAATACTCAAAATGTTGTATAAATAATAAATTTTTGAGAAACAATTAAAATGAGATAGTGTTAAAATTAAACCTTCAGTTCTTATTTCACTACTTATGTGGGGACCATATTTATGTGATACAAGTCAAAATAAAAAATTACTATTTTACATTACTTTGGCTAGTTGCGATTTGCAATAGGTAAATGCATATTTAAATTTCAGTAATTATGGAATTTTAGAATAGGTAAATTACAAAATTTAAATTATTTCAGGAAAGAATCACTGAACTTGTGAAAAACACTACGGAGTCTTGCCACAAATTTTTTATTTTAAAATTCCTGGATTTTCCAAGTTCTCCAGATAGATTACATTTATGTTATTTAAAAAAAAAAAAATTGTTATCTTATAAAATATTTAAAAAATAATTAAAAATGATTTACATGGTATTACACATATTTTACTGCACAAGGTAAAATTTTAGATAAGACCTATTACTTTTGGAGTTATGACTGAAATACTGAATAACAAAAATGTGAAAAGTGAAAGTCTCAGTTGCGGTGCATTTTTACCGTTTTTACGGCAATTTTTTCTCACTCCCGGAAAAACTATTGATATTTCGGAAAAATAATCTCCAATTGTAATTGACAAAAATAGGAGAAATAAACTATTCTTAATTTCTAAATTACACAAGGGTTCATGTAAAACTTTCATGCATTTAGCAGAATTTAATTTTGCATTAAAACATTTAACGGATTTCAGTCAATTCGTGATAATATATTCGTAGGTATAATTAATTGGGTTTGCGTTACATTACCTCTGATGTACAGAAATAAAGAAATGTATTATTTACATAATTTTTTTTTTTTTATTCTTAAAATTTTAATCAAAAATTTACCTACGAGTTTACGATGGTTGATGAATTACCATAATAACATAAGAATAATTCTTATAATTATTATAGGAAATTGACAAATAAAACATCACCGTAAAACAAATGATAAAAAATAAGTAAATTAGTCAATAAATTTGATTTAAAACAGCTCAAAAAGTAAAATCTATAAACATAAACCAACAAAAATAACCTATAAGTAGACTATTTTTTTTCTACATGAAAATAACAATATTAAAATAATACCTATCTATCTGTTTTATCAATGTATCAATGTTCAGCTGTAAATAATTCAACAGCATTTATTTTTAGGTCGTACTTTTAGCTATTCTTACATACCCACACAACAACAACCGACTCCCTTCTTTTACATTAAATAAGTATTAATAATTATTAATAAAAGTAAAATTATTTATATAAATCGAACATACCTACATAATATGTTTATAGTACATAATATAGTATATAGTATTATATAATATATATATATATATATATAAGCAATGGGCTGAAGACAAAATTATTGTAATAATAGGAACATTAGGTTATAAATAAGTTACTATTGGATACATTACGTATATATATATATATAACATACTATTACTATTAATATAGTAATATATTATACTAACAGACTTCTAACTAAAAGTTTCAAGTGATGATAAACATTTTATTTTTCATTTAGGACTATAAAAATACCAAGTTTTATTTATTTTTTCATGAATTTTTAAATTTTTATCATAAAATTCAATTATTGAGGAAAATAATAAATGCACAATAGTGTTAATTAAATTTACAATTTTTTCCCAGTTTTTCTGACTTAGATATAAATTCCCTGACTTTTCCCGGTTTCTCCGACTTGGAAATTAATTCATTGAATTTTATCGGTTTTCCCGGTTTTCTAGGTCTGTGGCAACCACAAATAATACCATACATGTTAAAGAGGTCTATTGAATCATCCTAAATGATAATATCAGTACTAATAATCAGCCTCACACTCATTCATACGCAGGCGCCTCTCGTCAATTTAATAACACAAAAATCAATGAACAAACCCCAAATTTTTTTTTAAGCAGCTCACCTCATTCCTCGATGATTTTAAATTAATTATTAATCCACTTATTTCACTCCTAACAACGGTTATTAATAAACTCTTAATAAAAACTAATGAATAACTCCACCCAAACCCATCCCTCATTAAACATTTTACTCTGGAACGCTAACGGTACCATTCAACTAAAACATGAACTTCATAACTTATTATACGAAAAAAAAAAATGACATAGCTATGATAAATAAAACTCATTTTACACTAAATACTAATTTTAAATTACATGGATTTACCACTCACGTAACAAATCACCCTAATAATACAGCCTATGCCGGTATTGGAATTGTCGTCTCTTCAAGAATACGCCACTGTTTATTACCACCGTTTCAGGAACACGCAATTCGAGCAACAAACATTAAAATTAACGTCAATAGCATCCCAATTACTCTATCTTCAGTATACTGCCCCCCCACCCTCAAACCATAATATAAGTAAAAACAAATTCAACTCACTTTTTAGCTCTTTAGGTAATACATTTATAGCAGGAGGTGACTTCAACGCAAAACATAACTCTTGGAGATGCAGGGCCGAAAATCAAAGAGGTAAAATACTTTTTCAAACCATAACGGATAACCACTTCAGTTATTTCCCCTCCTGGTCCAACCTACTGGCCCACACATTTAAATAGACATCCAGATATATTAGACTATTTTTTTACCAAACTACCAAATCACTTAACTCCTTTAGCAAATAATATATGCGACCTCTAAAGTGACCATTCACCTGTTATATTAACACTTGGAGGAAACCCCGCTCATAACATTAGACCTTCACTGACAGACGGACCAATAAATTGGACTAAATTTAAAAATCACTTAGATAACAGTATAAATTTAAATATATCCCTGAAAACTTGCAATGAAATTGAATGTACAGCTACACTTGTGGTACAAACCATTCAACAATCAACAAATATTAATTCTTACCTGAATAAAAATCAAACTACCTATAAAAATGATAGATTACCTCAAAATATCCAAATATTAATAGTAATAAAACGTAGAATTAAAGCACGCTGTCAACAATACAGATATCCCAGTCTTAAACAACAACTTAATCAACGACAAATATACTTAAAAATAAAATAAAACAATTCAAGTCAGAGGAATATCAATCATACCTAAACAATCTAAATCCTCAAAACGGCTCACTATGGAGAGTAACAAAAAGTTTAACAAAAACTAGGAAAAATATCCCACCACTTCAACTTACTGACGGCATATATAGTATAACCGACAAATAGAAGGCTAATACTTTCGCTAACCAACTCCATGAAATTTTTAAACCACACCAAGATATCGTCAACAATAATACCCATATCAATGATATATACAATTTTCTTAATAGCCCTCTGCCAATATCTCTACCAGCAAAATCAATTTTACCAGGCGAAATTGAATATACCTTAAAAAAATTGCCTGCTTGTAAATCTTACGATAACGATCTCATTACAAATAAGACATTAAAAAATACATCAAAAAATGTATAATTTATCTAACATACATTTATAATGAAATGCTAAGATTATCATATTTTCCCTCAATATGGAAATCCGCAGTAATAATCTTAATCCACAAGTCTGGCAAGCCAAAACACTTACCTACCCCATACAGACCCATAAGTTTACTCCTTACACTCGGTAAACTTTTCGAAAAACTTTTGCTCAAAAGAATTCGTCCAATTATGTTAAAAAAAGGTATCATTCCAAATATCCAATTCGGTTTTCGTCCAAAACATTCAACCATTCACCAAATTCATCGCTTAACTGATTCAATAGCATCAGCTCTCGAAAAAAAAACAATATTGTACATCCTTATTCCTAGACATAGAACAAGCGTTTGACCGAGTTTGGCACGAGGACTTAATCTATAAACTCAAAAAAATATTTCCGGCACCGTACTTTCTATTACTCAAATCATACTTAAAATACAGAACTTTTCAAGTACGTCAAGGTAATGAAAATTCTGACTCTTTTGATATATATGCAGAGGTTCCACAAGGTAGTGATCTATATCCGGATTTATACAATATATTCACTTCCGATGTACCCACCGATCCAAATACGATACTAGTAACCTATGCCGATGGTACTGCTATTCTGTCCATCAACAAAAATCCCATCACTGCTTCTGACAACTTACAAAAACATACTTCTAAAATTTAAACTGGTCAAAAAAATGGAAAACAAAAATAAATGAAAACACATCTGCCCATATTATATTTACTTTAAAAAAAGATCACTGCCCTAATATTACTGTCAACAATAAAGTCATACCATCATCTGATCAAATAAAATACTTATGTTTAATATTAGATAAGCGCCCCACATGGGGGCCCCATTTAAAACAAAAAAGACAAGCAGCAAACATAAGGCTTCACAAACTTCGTCCACTGCTAAAATCTAAACTAAGCCTCAAAACAAAATTATTAATTTTCAAAACAATAATAAGACCCATCTGGTCGTATGGAATCCAAATTTGGAGACCGGCTAAACCTTCCAACATTCGTCCAATACAAGAACATCACTCTTCGACCAATCACAGGCGCACCATGATACATAAGTAATGCTTCGCTTTACAAAGACCTCAACATCACAACCGTTAATGAACTAGCTACCACTCTCTACAAAAGATTCCATTCCAAATTCGACTCCCACAAAAATCCTCTTGTAAAAAAATATTTCCTCTCACACCCTACCTGGAAACCCAAAACAATGTTTAAAAAGGAACTGATCCCATGAACTATTATAATAAGTTGTCAAATTACAAATTATGAGGATGTTGCCAACCTCTTCTCCAATCATGCTATTCATGACATTGTTATTCATAATATTTATCATATTTACTTATTGTTTTTTTTTTATGTACAGATTGTAAATTTCTTTAAAAAAAAATAAAAAAATATTAAATATAACTTTAATTAAAAATTGTTAAAGCTAAATGCACCTTTGTTAATAATAATAATTTAATAGTTTCAATCAAAAAATTATTTAGAATGAAATTTGAATACAGAATAAAAATAATTTTTTGTATTCCCAATCTAAAATGCTTTACCATGTAAATTAACGGTTCAATTAATTTTCTCTATTATTATAGTTCAACAGCACTAAAAATTATAACACTAGATTCTTAATGTCCATAATATACATGGATTTAGACATTCTCAACAACCCTAATCCACACCAGCTCTCTTTATTCATTGCCACTCATTTCCGAAATGACTACTGATATTATATTCTTAGTTCTCTCAACTCAATCTTGGTCAATCTATTGGTATTTTCTCTTGAAATTAACCAAATGAAAAACAATTTATTCCATGTATATTCAGTCCATTTCAGAAGTAATATTCATATGAGGAGATTTGTATTATTGTTTAAAATTATAATCGGTATATAATTAAAAAAAAAAAAAAAAATTTTCAATATAAAAATCATGGCATATTGATTATATTTCAATGTAAAGAAAAACTATAGAATAATTGGCTAAACTATAGAATATTGAATAATAAATAGAATATTAAAAGAAAAAGTTAGTTATAATTTATTGTTCATTAAAAAGCTAGTTGAGCAACAAAATTTACACAATATTCTTCAAACCTAATAAATATGTAAGTTTTTTTTAACTAAATAAGTACACTATAGAATAATAGATAAATCCAGTTCATATAAAATAAATTAAAACTGATGGCTATAAAGGAAATGTATAATATTTTCATACCATAAATACTAATGGTCACTATATCACCATTAATTTAGAAAAATTTGACTTCTAATAAAATTCACAAAACTTATAAGTTTGATCCATTTAAATATGTATACTAAAAAAGTAATCCATATGATAAATGTAAGTTTGTATTAAAGTAATATGTATGTCAATTTACACATAGATTGTGAACATTTTTTATGCAAATTATATACCTACTTGCATATATTTCAAATCAGATAAAATTATAGTTAAAATGTTAACTTTTAGACCAAATATATTATAATATAAAATGATAAATACTAACTTACCGGATTGTTTAAGATTAGAAGAGATTCAAACCATAATAGGTAATGAGTAAAAACCAATATTAATGGAAATGCATACATCGGCCATTCACAGTCTACGAATTTGACAATAACACGATCTGTACATATAGTTTTTCTAATAGCAATAAGACCATAATATCTAGAAAAAATTGTATTAAATAGAACAAAATATAAAACTAGTTATTTTTATTATTATTTCAATAAATAAAATAGTAATTCTAATAAAACATATTAACCCTTTCAGACCTGAGTTTCTTTTTACTGGAATAATATTTTTTTTGAATATTAATTTTAATATGGGTCATTTTAGGAGAATAAAACGTTAAAACATTTCTTTTTTTTTCTTTTTCTATGAATTCAGGAGCATGTCCTCTATAAGTGACATTAGATCATAATAGTTGTAAAAAAAATCAATCTGAAGACATAAAATTCTAAAATTTTGAATAAATAAATTACTTAGTGTTTTTAAGTGCTTGCATATTTACTATTTTTTTAGAGCTACAAGTCCTCCGCCTTACTTATGCATAGTAAAAAATAAAAATATATTGTACATTTATTCATGAAATTGTATAAAACAAATACTTGTACCATCAAGACATAAGTTAACATTATATTTTATGCAAAATATGTGGTTCTTTCTTTTACAACAATTTATCCAATTCCAATACGTTACCAACGCTCAATAAATCACAAATTTTATGTTCTGGTTACCCTCTAGCCATTTAATACATAATAAATAATTAAATATTACATAAATGCATAATATATTTCAATAGATCGTAAATAATAATACCATTGTCGGTCTAGCTCATGATTGGGACTCCGGCAAAAAATTTACAATGAGCCCTTTAACAATATAATATTAGAGTGAGATTCAATAAATATCTACTAAAAGTGTTTTTTATCGCTACACTCGAACTCTACTACAAATATAATTTATTTTTGTTTTTATACTTTTCTAAAGCCAATATTATGAAATCATCATTGTGTTCGTGTATGTGACCATTAACAACATGTTAAGTGTTCGATTTTGATCAAGAGAACAAAAATGTATAAACTATAGCGGTTATACCTAGTTCTATTAAATCATGTCAAAAATATAATTTTAATTTAATTTAGGAAAATAATTACTATGATTTTTCATGTGAACGTAGTTGCTTCCAGGGGTGAATTTAGGAAAGGTTTAGGAAATCAGTTGACCCACAATTAATATTTGTTGATAAAATTGGCCTTTTGAACACTTCTAATATTTTTTAAGTAAGATAAGTTGAAGTTAAAACTAAACTGGAAAATGACTCAGATTCCTCTCTCACCCCATATGACTCCACTGGTTTAATTATATAGTAAAATAAAATATCTTTATGCCAGACCCCTTGTAATATTTCATAAAATAAGATAAATGTTTACAATGATAATTATGGATAAAATTAAAAAACAAATATTATATGATAATATATTTTTTTTTATTACAAGGAATACATTTATAATCCACTTTCAACTCTAATAAGTGGTTTCTTGAAATAGCCTGACCCACAGTTCTCTAATTGTAAATTCGCCTAGGGTTGGACCCTATTTTAAGAATAAATCTCAGGGCTCCCGTTGATTGCCATGTTTTCGGGTGGGCCAGACCGACATTGAATAATGCTAATTCGTATAAAAGCTATTAGGTAGTAGGTACACGTAGAGGGCGCGTAATAATCACAATACAGCACGATGACGAGGTGATGATTACGAAATACGACCGCTACGTCCCAATGTCCTCTTTAAGAAACACGTATAAAATATACCATAAAATTAATTCGATTAAACCGATTGTGGAGATCAGTTCAAAACACTTTAATAATTGTGTAAACGAACGAGAAAAATAGAAGGTATTACACTATCGGTTATTAAACTACGAACATTTATATAAACCATTTCCAAGAAATTAACTACAAAATAAAATCGGATAAGAATGTAGGTACATATTTCTGAGAATTCAAATCCCAAATCATTCTATAGAACTATTTTCGTTTTACGGCACTTTTCCTATAAACTCAATACATAATTGATTAAAATACATCGTCACAGCAATTGTAATAAATAGAATAATATAGTGTCTCTTATAGAGGATGAGGGTCTGAAAGGGTATGAAAAAAAAAATAGTAAAAATTTATCACGAAATAATATTAAAATTTTTCATAGTAAATAATACGTTTCTCTAAAGTAAAAAGTACCTGTAATAAAATAAAATAATAATAATTAATTTTTACCTTGCAATTGGTGAATCTGGAGGTAAAAGTATTTGAGCCCACTCCATTTGATATACAAAAAGAAAAGATACATGTATACAGGCAATAAAACAAATAAAACGAAATAAGTAAGCAAATCCACGAGTTATAGGATGATAACATGACCACCAAGTCATTATTCCTAAGAATGTGATGTAATAAAATGCACTGATTATTGAAGGTACTGCCACTCCAGCCAAACAAATAATAACCAAACAAAGATATTTTCCTAAAATGAACAATATATTTCTATACAGTGTAAAAAATATATATATATTATATATATTTATTGAATAAATTAACTTTAAATTACCAATAGAAATAGCAATAGAAATAGAGCTTGTTTGTTGCCATGTTGCTCTTGATTCAGGTTCAGTGATTTCAACAAATGTATTTGATGTTTCTTCTACCTCAGAGTTAATTTTAATTAACATTCTTTGTATAATAGTAGATGCACAAACCATAATTAATTCTGGTAAGTAGAAATAAAATATTTCAATTAATTGCAGTTTTGATAGTTCAATTAAACCAATATAACGAAACAAGCGTTCTATTCCATCGCCTAAAATAATATTTTTGTAGTTAAAATATTTATATTTATTAATATAAATATTAATTTAAATCTAAATGGTAAAAAAAAAAATGTAATTAACTTACAAGTTGGTTCTAGAACTTTTCCATATGGCTGCATTATAAGAAGAATAATTTGGAATACAAGCTGAATTAATACCATGAGCCAACTAATTAAAGTAATAGTTTTTAAAAACACTCCTGAACCTCCTTAATAAAAAAATAAAATACACAAAATATAAATATATATATATATTTACATATTACACCTAAAAAACGTTCCATATTTTCTTTCAATTTGAACTAATAGTTTACCATTTATATTTTTTGAAGTAGGCGTTTTTATTACAGGAAGATAGAGTAGTAAAATTAGATACACTCCAGTTAATGCATTTTGTTTTAAACAAATACCTGGAAAACAAAATAAAACATAAATAAATTTATACATAAATACTAATTTTAAATATTAAAACTAAGCTTATTATATAAGTTATACAATTGAAAAAATTATGTTATTATATCAAATAGCTTTAAATTATATCTAGTACATATAGTAAATACATACAAGGTAAAATATAAAAAACTTTTAAAATATATGAAAATAGGTACATTTCTACAAACATAAAAATATTTTAACGTTTATACTCGGGTATATAAGAAATAAAAACTTTATAAGAAAATTAAGTATTTTATAAATATCATGTCAACACTATTACCTATTTAACAAATTTGGACTTGGCTTATTAGAATGAGATTTAAATAAAAATGTTACTCCGTTAGTTTAATTTATTAATAATTTAACATTTTTAATGATATTTTTATCCATTTTATCCATTTGTACGACCTAATGATTGGAGTTAGTGATGGATAGAAGTGACTATATCCTACCAACTTAGTCGGCAGTACTTTATGAGTAATTTAGTTACTCTATGTAGTCGACTAATTTAATTTATTTATATTAGTTGGTTATACAAAATGTAATCGAATAATTAGTCAGTAGTACCAATGCCGTAAAAACCGGGTGTGCAGAGTGAGCATTACATACAGGTCCCGATCATCATACTATAATATAGAGCCTCATCAAAAGGTCAAATGCTCAAAAATGTAAAATGATAACAGGTTTCAAGATTTTGATCTGCATACAGGCCTCGAGAAGTTCAGTTACGACACTGAGTTAGTACGTGATAAATACCAACCAATAGTCTATAGTAACAAATAGTCGCTTCTGCCCATCACTAGTTGGAGTCCTTTATAATAATCAAGTATCAATCAGTATGTTTACAATAATACGCATAGGCGGGCGTATCTAGGAGGAAGGGGGACTTAGCCCCTCCAAATATTTCCATAGGCCTCTTAAATTAAAAATAATTAAATGGTTAATACTGAGTCACGATTTTATTGACTTTGTATATAATCTGACGATGAGTTTTTAATCAATTCAAAACCGGTCGTACTTTACAAATATAAAACACCCTAGGCTAAACAATTATTTACTTATTTCTATATTATGTAAACTAATTTATAAAACTTATTTGTTATAAACAAAATATAGAAATAAACTTTATTTTTTTTTTATGTTTAAAATAATTTTATTCAATACACCAAATAAATATTTTGTTTGGAAATTAAAGTTTTTCATAATTAACATAGAATTATAATTTAATTGATAGATCAATGAGTTTAATGAGTTAATTAGGGTATAACGATTGACTTTCTAATTGGTTTTACATTTTCAACCATACTTCTAATATTTAAGTTCTTAATTCAGTTTGACAGTAACGTTTATCATGAACACACGTACCTACACTACGATAAAAAGTGATAATAATTGCTTCGTTATCACTAGCGCGCTCATTAGTAATTTATTTTGACCATTATTGACTATCAGTTCCAACTTATAATGACATCATAACGATTAATAATGCACAGAATACCGTTACCGCCTCGCGGCGTACACTGAAACCCTCAATACGAAATTTGTCAGCCTCGTCAATTTCACCAACTCAAAATGACAAAAAAACCAAAGTCTACATTTCACCAAATCGTTTTGTCCCTCTCGTCACTGATGACAATAACGACGTAGCTACAACTTTGTCTTTAACCAACTTCAAGGGTGATCCAGTGAACCTGTTTCACACTAAACGAGACATGGGGCCCCTGGCTCCACCTATCCACGTCAAAAACATTTCAAACTATTTCGTCTTAAATAAGGTATTAATCAACATTACCCACCAAAATGGTTTTACCTGAAGGTCAACGCCATCACACATCATCATAAAATCAGCAGGTCACCAAAAATGTAATACAATTATTGATCATTTTTACAAAACTAATGCTAGTTTTCATTCATACACCCCTCTTCACCTTCGTACTACAGGATCATAATCAGAAACCTACACTTTTTCACCTTAAGTAATGACATTATTAATGCTTTAGCTGAGTTGGGACACTCAGTTAAATTCATATATAACGTCAAAAATAAAAACAAATGTCCTTTACCCTAATCCTTTGTGAATATTTTAACACAAGACAATAACTAAGACGTTCTCGAAATTAAGTTTCAATACCAAAGTCCCCATTGAGAAACCAAATAAGAAACGTGGTCCTCCGCAGTGTCACAACTAGAGCTCCCTATTTCACGTGTATACGTTTTCACGTGCTCACGTGAAATTAAGGTTTAATTTATAAAACCCGTTGCTTAAAATTTCACGTGTATTTATAATTTTATTCACGTGAATCCGTGAATTTATATAATCACGTGAATACGTGAATTTACATAATCATGTTTGTCGCCATCGGTTCTCGTATATAATGACTATGTATAAACTAGGCCTAATATTAAGTACAACTGTCTAGTTACTTACGTTTAGTAAATAATATTAATAACTTATGTTTTAAATTATGACGTAAATAATTTAATATTAATTAATATACATAAAACTTCGTGAAACAAATTTAAGTAAATAGATAATATTATAACAAATAATGTACAAATAAATAATAATCTAAAATATTATAATAAATAGATTATGTAATAATAAATTATGTATAAATAAATATTAATCTAAGAAATTATAATAAATAGATAAACAAAATAATGAACGAAAAAGACATCTTATTTATAATTTTTAATTATTTTTTTATAATATAATAGTGGTCTTGCATCCACGTGATGCCCATCTACACTCAAAAATATATTTAGCGCAAAAATTTTCGATTTTGGTATAATAGTCAATAAAGTCATGAAAAGGGGATTTCATTACATACATATAGGAATTTTTATTCGTATTTATGATAATTGTTTACGATTTTATATTGTACAATTGTAACTTGTGACGTTCAATCAAAATGATGGTATCAGTGTGTGAGTTCTATTTTCATAACCGGACGCCGTGAATTACCACGAGCACATAAAAATTTCCCGGCACACAACTACTTATCCAACAACTAGATAAGTCACATGCGACGGGCACTACAGAGTTCAATAAAAGATCATGAAGCTAATCAATAAAATTATAAATACATTTTCAAATAAAATAAACAAAATAAATAGTACCTAAAATCGGTTTTTTTAATGCAATATATGACCACCATGTAGGTATCATTAACAAAATTAACAAACTCTTTATATTTTATAAATAATTATTTTTTATTCAATCAAATTTTTGATTAATGCCAGTTCACGTGAATATATTAATTCACGTGATCACGTGAATATGATTCAGATACGTGCTCACGTGATTAAGCTTTCGTTGATTGCCGTGTATTAACTATACGTGATTTATTTTGATTCATTCACGTGATCACGGTATACGTGAACACGTACATTCATATTCACGTACAAAAACGTGACCCCTAGTCACAACTGTCAATCCTACGGATACACATGAAATAATTGCCACCCCTAACCTAAGTACGTTAAGTGTGGTAATAACTATCTCAAGAATGAGTGCTCTAAAGACCGTCACAGTCCTGCCAAATGTGCCCTTTGCAATGAGGAATATTATTATCATACGACTCTCAAACTTATAATAGAACTAAGTGAACTGAAACATTTTAATCTACATTAAATATAAAAAAAAAGTTTTTAATTTTATATGATGTGAAATTATGAAAACTAGTTTAGTAAAAATAGTGGTTTGAGGGAGTAGTTTGTAATGTCTAGACTTATAGTCCCCTTCCCCAAATTATAAGCTCTAGTTACACCAATATAAATAAATACCTTTGTTCTACACGAAATAAAAAATTACACAAAAGGATATAATGTTTGTCTTATCCCCCCTCTCACTACCGTAATCAAAAAACGAATGGACTAGAGAATTTATAATATGACACTTAAAACTTCTTAATATACTTATAAATACGTTTATTTTATAGCTGAAAATGTAGTTAGGTATATTTTTATAATTTTCTTACTCAATCTAAAATATCTCAATTAGTTTGTCAAATAATTAAAAACATAACAAACAGATTAATAACAACTAATAAAAATATACGAATATCTTTTATAAGAGTTAAATAATGATATTATTACAAACTTAAATACAGTATGTATACGGTGGCACTTTTTAACTCAATAACAACATAACATTAATTTATATTTATGTTTTAAAATACAAATAAAAGTATAGGTATCACTAAAATAAGTAACCTATCAATTTATCAATTTTATCCCATTTACAAGATCTTATGAGTTTTTAACTGTATTGATCAATCAAGTTAAATATTTGTATGATTATAAATTCTAACAAAACATTTTAAAAACAATAGAAATATTATTTTAAATACGTATAAAAAAAACGATAAGATACACGTTTTAAAACTAAATTTTAATTGTTAACTAATTAATAACGTAATTACATAACATGATATATACTAAGTAGTTTTTCAGGATATGTTATTAAATTTAATAAATGCACGAATAGAACAACTATATTTTGAATACCTATTTTATTAGTTGTCAAAATGTATCTTTAGTTGATTAGTGGTTAATGGTTAGTATATGAATAAGGTCGGAACAATCCAAAATTAACTAATATTGTATAAGTATTTAAACCGGTTTTTCGATTAATCAATGTAGTTTATATTCCCATCATAATTTTAGCTCACTTAAATTATTTCTTATACTAATTTACACACCTATATGTATAAAATATAACTGATAACGCCTAAAATAATAAATAATAAAATCACAGAAATACAGTAATAGAAAATGTAGTAAAATAAGATTTTATGACAAAAAAAGTATATATTTTCAATTAAATTTATTAAAATATAAAATATTTTAAATATATCGATTAAAATCATTCTCTGAAAAAAAAAAAAAGGAATATTATCTTAATTGTATATACAAATACATTATGTAAGCATATAGATAAATAAACTTTACAGTGGAGGAGGCAAATGTAAAT